TGATAATAATATTCAAACACTTTTAAATGATAAATGTGTGGAAAACCACAAAATCGATATCAGTTTCAATTATAATATGAAACAAATAAATAACGGGACGTCTAATGAATTGGATGGCGCTATCACTCGAACAAGTCTTAGGTATGTTTCTAAATATGAACAATATTTTAAATGTTAATAGATGAGCAAGTAACTTTTAATAAAATGATATTTTATCAATATCACGCATGATAAATATAATTTAAATGAATTAAAATTTAATGAAACGTATGTATAGTTCTGTGGATTCGGGAACGAGTTCTCCAAACTCTTCGCATTTCATTGTCGTTGCGATAGATTTCGGCACAACTTTTAGTGGTTATAGTTTTGCGTTCACAAGAGATGTGGACAATGCTATTCATATGATGAGGAAAGTCGAGGGTATGAACACAAAGTTCTTATTAACAGCTAATAATAGATTTAATTTTTATCATATTTTAACTACATTTTAACTACATGTGTATATTTCATAAATGGTTATTGCTTTCTATGGAAAAGGTTGTGATCCCGATGTAAGCAATCAAAAAATTCCGTAAGCATTTCTAGACAATAATATTGCACTAGATATTAATGCCATGTACAATTGTCTGAATTGTATGAAGGACAATATTGCTGTTGAATGAAGATGGGGCGTTTCATTCGTTTGGTTTCGCAGCCAGAGATCATTATTCCAGTCTCGAACCAAAGGATTCTAAGAAGTGGTTCTATTTCGAGAAGTTTAAAATGGATTTGCATTACAATCAGGTCAATACAACCATCCCATTGTCACTCATATAATTCACACTTTGTTAATGATTACCTAATTTTATCTTTAACTCTGCGGGAGATTGTATTATAATGTAAGCTTACGATCAACTTTATGTTAGTCTTACTCGTTAGATGTTATATTTATTATAAGGTTAATAGATATAAGTACAAATTTTATTGAAAGATTATTAACATGATCTTTGATAGTTATATACGGTATTTTATTAAATACGGTAAGAAGTATTTTTGTTACGGTATTAAAATTCATCAGTTAGTTGCAATTACAAATTAATTTTTTTAAAAATTGAATGAGAAAAATACTTCAAATGAATTTATTAAGTTAATTTAGTTTAATTAAAAATTTACAAAATTCTCACCTATTCATGCATTACCTTTTTTGATTTTGCTAAACATTAGCCAATTATTGGCAAAGCATTGACAAAGCATTTGCCAATAATTTCAATTGTGATAGAAAGTTAACTTTTCTTCAATATATTTATACCAAAAACCTTTTTTATAAATCAATTCTTTCATTGAATTTTGCAATTATTACATAAAACATAAGTATTAAGTCAAATATTTGTTGTCTGCAGTCATTATCATTGGACACCAAAATTCAAGCAACGAATGGTAACAAATCGATGTCAGCGTTAACAGTGTTCGCGCACTCATTGCGTTACTTTAAACAACTGGCCCTTCAAGAGCTCAGTGATCAGTCAGCCATCAATATCCTCAACGAAGACATTCGTTGGGTTATAACAGTTCCGGCCCTTTGGAAACCGTCGGCCAAACAGTTTATGAGAGCCGCCGCTTACGAGGTATAGAAAGCATATTATTTATACGAAAGATAAAAGTGAC